AAGTCTGGTGGTGGGTGCAAGAAACACTAAACTTATGCTTTTGATCTGGCAATAATGCAGCAGCCTTGCTTCGCATCATTGATGGATTCATTAATTTGTTGAGCCTGTGTGTTAGCTCCAACAATGAACATATCAAAGAAAACAAAAAAGAGCAGTGAGATAACATAAGGCATCATTACATCCATACAGATCTAGGCTTACATACTGAACAATAGATGTGACTTCAAAGGAAAAAGAACTGTGAGATGGAGGTACCAAACAGTGATGTAAATTTGTCATCAAAGTTATCAAAGATATGGTTCTCTGAATCTCATTGAGATATTATTGCAGGAAGATGCTACAGAAGAATTAGTTTGCAGAGGTTTTAGCTGAAATGTCTGATAGATAGAGTACGAGTGTTTTGGATACAAATGATAGGAGAAGGGAGAAAGATGTGCCCTCATTTTATGCAGTTCTGTGGTCTGAGATCACTGGTTTACCATTAGGGATGAGTTGAGAAGGGGACAGTGAGAGGTCAGGTCAAGAGGAGCTCTTTTTGGTCAGTCATTGGAGTACAAGGCTTTGATGAAATCCACTGAATGCTATCTCTTTATCTAAGTCTCAAATAATTTATAATTTATTATATTAGATACAATACTGTCACGAATTTAATTTGAATTATCTAAATTATGAAACATCCACATTTATCCACAATGATCAGTCTGGATTTCAATCTCTTAAGGGTCTTCAAAGAAGAAAAAAAAAATAGTCAAAGAGACAAGTAATAGACAAAATATCATCGTTTACGGAACAAATAAATTGTTATATCAGATATATCATAATGAAGTTCTGATTAGGAATTTCATTTCAAATCCTTCTATTACCTTCTGGTCTAGATTTCAATCTTTTATGGATCTTCTAAGAAGAAAAAAGATAGTGGAAGAGACAAGCAACAGGCAAAATATCATGGAACCCTCTTTTTATTCAATGCTCCTTTGTCAATACTATTTTGGAGCCAACTTACGAGTCATGGGATATGCTTTGCACAGCATCTTTGTATTTGAGGATCATTGGTCTGTGGAAGTTAAACAAGAGAGGGAAAGACAGAGAAAAGTAAAAGAATCTTCTTGAAGAGTCAACTATGCTCCTTTATTTCTTAACAATGTTCACTTTTTCTAAAGAGTGAGATGTTGCCTTCAGTTTATTGGCAAGTAAGATTTACTCTCTCAAAAAATCTATGGATGCAATTTTCTGTGATATATGAGCCAAAGAAGCTTGTGAAAGAACTGTTGAACAATACCTTCAACACAGTTACAATCAATTAAGATCCAAAATCTGTTGTTCACCTTTTAGTTTACAGACAGTGCAGAATGATCTCAGCCTCACTGATTTGTTTAAGAATGCCAAAGATAATGAATGGGAGGCTGGTCATGTTACACATCATTGATATGATTTGTTCCACTCCATATCTTTAGATGATGCATTGCCATTGAAATCCTAAGCTCTGAAACCAGTGCTCTCTCTACTGACTAGCAATGGACAAGTCAAAGTTGAGTCTGTGGAATTCCCCAATTTGCCAGGAAGATTACTTAGATCAGGACAGAAAAATTATGGCTAGGAAACATCACCTGGTTAGGAGGAATCAGTACCAGTAGCTCCCACCTTCATCAGAAACTCGTTCTTTGATTTGTTCAACCAAGTTCACAATCAATCAATCAGGTTCAAGAAACATACAAAATTAGAAAGTATTTTCAACCAAGTTCACAATCAATCAGGTTCAAGAAACATACAAAATTAGAAAGTATTTTCAACCAAGTTCACAATGTTCAAGAAATATACAAAATTATAAAGTATTTATTGGGTCTATTCATATCGTGAAAATTTTCGGAGATAACCAATGAAGCTAATTGTAAGTGGTTAGACAAGTATTACTCTAATCGAATAATCGGATATTGATTTGATCGATTATGCATGTTTTATATATATATATATATATCTTAAGTTATGAAATTAATTGATTTTACCAAAGTCATATTGCACATTTATTTATAAAGGATTAGTCTCCTTGAAATTTTTATAGTCTCAAAAGAACATGTAAAAAAAAAGATAGGTTAAAGAAAATATTTATAAACAAATATTTTAGCAAACACATGATGAACAATACAAATTACAAAATAGATTTCGTAAGCTCTAAACAGTTACACGACAAAGGATCCAGTATGATCCATTGCGATCAAAAATCTTCATAAATACTTACATGATATTGTTACGAAATAAGTATAGGGCTTGTTCACTATTTTATTCCGTAGTAATATCAAGGAGGTACTTATGGAAACTTTTGAATATGACAAACTATTTTGGATTTTTTTTGTAATACGGTTGTAAAGTCTATAATTATAATTTGAATTGTCTATTAAGTGTTTATTGAAATATTTATCGGTAAGATTTCGAATTAAATATTTTCTTAATTCATCTTTTCTTTTACGTATTATTATGGGATCATAAAAAAATTATGGGAGATCGGTCCGAACATCATTTGATATAAAATCAGGTAGCTTTATCACTGATGATGAAAGAGGGTGGCATCAAAGATATTGTCGCTCACTAAACAAAGAGATTTGACGAAGATAGAGCACAGCACAATAAGATATGCGTGGAAAAGGGAAGGAGGCAAGTGTTGGGGAAATCACATGGAATTGCCTCCCAAGTGGGCGTGGGCATGAGATACGTCGAGGCGGTTTCACACAACTGGAGACGGGTGGTCATCCCTGACCTCAGCGTATCTGCTGCCAGGATCAGGCGGGCCACCACCGGCGCCACCGCCACCTTCCAAAGCCACCCCCTCAGGCATGCATAATAAACCACCCCCACCTCCTCCCCTTGATTAACCCCTCCCTGATTCCTTCCCCCCTGCTCACCCTTCGATCCAACTCGCACTCATCTTACAGCTTGCTTTATCATGATATCTTTATATGAATATATATCTAGAGAGAGAGAGAGAGAGATCTTTGTCCGTGTTTGGTTGTGGTTTTGTTTCTTGGTGTTTAATGCAAAGATGGAGTGAGGACATGGGAAGATACGGGTGAAATCTGGTCGGATCTTGCTTTGCAAGGGGTCGGATTTGGTGGGCCGGAAGGTGGCTTATATTTCGATTGCCTTAGCTGTCTGGAAGAGTCCACTGGGAGCGAGAAGGAAAGTGGGAAGGGACGACCTCCACCTCTCCTGCTACTTCTGCTGCTGTTGTCCGTTTCCCCCGCCTTCTCCGTCTCTTGGCCCTCCTCGAAGCTGGTTGTTGTGGCGAGGAACTGGTCGATGGCTGTTGATGCAGAGGCCCAGTTCCATGTCCTGGCCGTGGATGACAGCCTCATGGACAGGAAGCTCATCGAGAGACTCCTCAAGACCTCTTCCTTTCAAGGTTAGCCAAGCTTCTGCTGCTCTGGTTCATCTTGTTTTCCTTCTCTCCTTGACAAGCTTGTGTTGGTGTTTCAGTCACCACAGTGGATTCCGGGAGCAAGGCTCTTGAGGTCTTGGGGTTGAGCGAAGACCAAACAAGCCCATCGGCTGTCTCACCAGAACACAATGTAATCTTTGATCTTTCTGCTTTCCTTTCTTTCTTGGATGCGTGTATATGATGGCTGCATGATTTTGATGGCGTCGTGAACGTTGATACTGTTCTGGCAGGAGATTGAGGTGAATTTGGTCATAACAGATTACTGTATGCCTGGGATGACAGGGTATGACCTCCTCAAGAAGATTAAGGTAGAGTTCATGCTTGTTCATCAGGTTTCCAGTCTGCACATTTTGTCTTCGATTCATTTGTTTCAAGAAGCTGAGGAGGGGCTTCTCTTACTCTAATGTCAGGGATCATCATCTTTGAAGGACATCCCGGTGGTGGTCATGTCATCCGAGAACGTGCCTTCCAGAATAAACAGGTGAGGATGAGGATGATCATTCCATTTCTTCTTTACCAAGATGAATTCTTTCTGTTAATATACTTGATGAGATTTCAATCTCTGTCAAGAAATCCAGTCTTCCTAGGTTATGAAATAATTATTTTTGGTTGGTGGCTTGTGAATGCTTATCCGAAATCCTGATCGATGATATAAAATTGGATTGACCTTTTGTATTTATTACTCCAAAATTTAGTTTCTATTAATTTACAATCCATTTTGCACACCCAATTGCAACAAGGAAATCAAAATGAAGGAAAATAATCCTAGTGGTTGATGAGTATTGCTAGTAGTCTGTAACTATTTATTTTCCTCTATTTGAAGAGAGGATTATTGTTGATACGGAGTTTGGCAATAGATATGCCTTTTAAGTGCCCATGAATAATGGAATTATATTGTGATCTGATAGGGCGAAGAAAAAAGTAGATATTCCCAATCTACAAGTGAAGTCATGAGATTTGTGTTAAATTAATCACCTTTAAGAATAAAGAACAAACGGATAAGAGTTGTATTTGCAAATCAGATTGGTCTGTCATTTGTCTTCTGCTGCTGAAGAAAAGTTTTCCACCTAATCCTGCAATAGAAAAGTTGCATAGATGTCATCTATTCTGAGGTCGAATCAGGAAGGAAGGCAGTCCTTTTCTGCAATATGGTCAAACATCTCAAGATCTTTTCCTTGTTCTTGTTAGATTTGCTCAATATTCTGAAGTTGATGTGATGAGATAAAGAAGGGTAGAGAGGGCACATCTGATATCTGCTAACCTTTATCTAACATGGAATTGCTTTGCTGTGTACTGCTGCAGATGCTTAGAAGGTGGGGCAGAAGAGTTCTTTCTGAAGCCAGTGCAGCTCTCAGACATGAAAAGGCTCAGGCCTCATATTCTTAAAGGGAGATCAAAAGACCAACAGCTGCAACGAGAAGAAAACAGTAACACCATCATCATCAGCAGCGGTGGCAGTAAAAGGAAAGCCATGGATGAGGAACCTTCACCCGAGAGGACAAGACTCAGATTCTCCACTGGTAGCTTAACCATATTGTGATATGAACGAACATGTTTGTCGACTAGCTGAAGATCCTCATCGGAGCGTTGAGTTTCTTCGGGTGCTGCCAGAGAATTCACATACCATGCCGATTTTGCGGTGGCTAAAGTTACCGAGAAGTAGGAAATGTAAATAGCCGGAGGACGAAGTCGATGATGATTTGGCTGGATTCATGAGATACCTAC